CTTTGGCGTCACGGCAGCCTCATAGGCGAGACGGGCTTTCCGGTAGCGGCGGATGTTGCGGCTGAACAAGCCCCTGGCGCAACGCTGAATCGTGACCTGCACGGACCACCCAACAAACACAGCAAACACACGGCCGCCCCCTTGACGTGTGTGAAGAGCCACTCGTCCCGTCCCGTCTCCCTCCACTACTCACCGCAGCTAAGTCCATCACCACCGCCCTCATGAGGCGGGATTTGCGGCCAACACGCGGCCCCGTGGTGCTTGACGCGGCTGCTGCTGCTGCTGTGGTTGTGGTTGTGGCGGTTGTTGATGCCGTGCGCTCGGAGCCTGGGGATCGGCCGTCGGAAGGGTCGGAGTGGCCGACCTGCTCCTGGTCGGAGTGGCCGACCTGGTCCCTGTCAAGGGGATGGGCCAGCCCCCGTAGGGAGCCCCTGCATGATGAAGCACCGACAGATGGGCGGAGACACAGACCAGGGGAGACAGAGGCAGATGGACTGGTGGGTCCTTCGGTGGCCGCCTCTTTCTGTCAGACCTGACGAAGTATTTCAGGCAGTCCACAAACGCCGGAATGTCCTCCGGCGGAACCTGCAGCCGAAAGGCCTGCGAGACACAACACACACACATGCAGTAGGTCGGTGGGGTCGGGTATGGCGCGTCATGGACACCCCTCCCAAGGAAGGGCTGCTCAGCTCACCGTTGTGGCCGTCGCAGTGCTGCCTACTTCCACCCTGACACCATGACAAGGGCACAAGGAAACAACGAAATGCCTCACGCACTCCCCCACCGCCCAGGCATACCACCCCCTCTTCCCTCCCCTCCAGCCCGAAAATCCGTCTGTACGCCCCTCCCCCCTCTCTGCCCCACTCGTCCCTCTGCCTGTTGTGTGTGTGTGGCCACCCACTTGATGTAGGAGGAGCCAAAACGCGCCGACTCCTGCAGCCGCTCCGGGCTGTCCTCAACTTCGACCCCACTCATTGACCCACTTAGAGGGAGCTTCTGATTGCTGGAAAGCGTAGAAACAACTTGAAGGCAGCGAACAATAGAAGCTCTCGAGCTTGCGAGCTTGAGGGGGAGAGGTGGGGGCTCCCGTCTCGAGCCTGAGGTCCCTTCGCAAAAATAGAGGTCACCTGGAGGCAGACGGATGAGCTGCGGGACGCCTGGGGCTTTGACGGCTTCGTTGTGAGCGACTGTGACGCCATCAATGACATGTATGGCAGTCACCGCTTTGTCATGTGAATGCGGTCTCTATGAAGGCTGATGGGTGGTGGGAAGGGCAAGGGGGAGAGGGTGACAGTGTGTGGAGATGTGTGTGTCTCCACGCATCTACAGGCTGGGGACGTTCTTGGGCTGTTTGTTTGCTGATGCACTGGACTCACTGACCCCCTCACTGCATGGTCGATGGAGGCGGGTTTTGACATGGGTGACTTTGTGAAGTTGTGCTGGTCGATCATGCAATGAGGGCTGTGTGTATTAGGTCGAGGACACGCTGTGCAGCACCGATGCTTGAACGGATGAAGTCCAGCCGTCACACACAACACATCATATACACAACTCTGCACACACGCATAAACACGCAACCTCATAAGCCCTTCACTGCAATCACTTGAGCTACTGCATGGCACACTTGTCGGCCGCCAGCCCAGTGAGGTCGCCCAGGCGGCGCTTCTTGAGCACCACATCCATCCGGCCGCCTGTCCAGTCTGTGTGGTCGAGGAAGTCGCCCCTGGCCCCGCAGTGGCACATGCGATACCTCGTGCGGATGTCGCCGGTGAATGCCTTGAGGAAGGGATACTTGCCCTCGTCGGGCTTGATGTCGTCTCCATCATCGCTCCAGGAGAGCACCGGCTGGGCATCTGCGGAAGTCAGCAGTACGGGGGAACATGTGCCATCACATGGATGCATTCATTCTCTCGGTCGTTGCTCACATTCCCGTGTGTTGACGGTCAGCACGACACTGTTGGGCTGCAGCATGAGGATCAGGTCATAGTACACGCGGAAGTGGTCAGGCGAGTAGGGGGGTGGGTTCTGATCCTGCAATGGGTAGTTGTACTGAAGTCGCGGACAGACAGAAGAATGGCAGAGGAACATGGCAATTACTGATGCATCCAGTGCAGCGCACCTCTGTCTTGACGTGCATTGTGAGCTGGCGGAGCGAGAGGCGCTCCTGCATGGCGGTCCACAAGGCGCCGCCTTTCTCAGGCACCACCAGGGGGCTCTCCTGCACCTCCGTCCGCACCTCCAGCTCGTCCAGACACACACGCTTGGTGCCCCCCTCCCCTGGTTGAGCCGCAGTGCCCTCAAACAGACACGCAAATGCGTCAAAGGCCGCCCACCTGAACACCGACAGACCAGCTATGACCCCACCGATCCGACCCACCCCACCCCCACCACCTACCAGGGCACACAAATGAGTCGAACAGTGTGTAGTGTGTGCGGCATGGTCTTGAGGAGCCGTTGCAATGGGTCGGACAGCGTGTAATGGTTGGTTGGGGGCGGAGGGAGCCGGCTTCCCGCCTCTTCCCTGGTCAGAGGGAACTGAGGTGGGAGGGGCGGCCCTTCTCGTAAACGCCATCCTCCGTGAATCGGTGCTTGTGGTAAGTAATGTGGTCCTTGACAGACTGGTACTCGACCTGCTCGAGGGTCAGCACCTCGACACTCTTCCAGCCCCCAACCGTCCAACCGGCAATCTACAAGACGGGACGGACAGCAAAGGAGAGGGAGAGAGATGCAAACGGGTGCGTCCACGGATCCCGGCGTCCTCACTAACCGCATCATGGCCGACGTAGCCGCGAGTGGAGTCGCCACACCTGATGATAAGGTACTTGGTCTTGTCGAACACAACCGGTCGGCCACTCGAGTCGGTGAGGTCCCAGCAGTCGTCCCACGGCTGCGAAAACTCGTGATAGGTCATCTCCACCGTGATGGCCTGTTGCAGTGCTCGCTTGACGATGTCCCGGATAGAACCTCTCATCTCTGGGGGGCACGTGTCAGCTGGCCTCCATCTCTTGAGGGAGGAGCCCCTCAGCTCAACGAAACTTCCTTTCGGCAGCACACAGTACCCTACAACGACGACACAATGAATGACCTGATGTATGTGTGTATGTCTGCCTGACGATTCCTTTCTCGCATGTCTGTCGTACCACGGCTCTCCAGTTCGACCAGCAGCTGCATGCCTGCCGGGCCGTACAGCTCGCCACTGCTGCTGCGGTGACGTGTTGGATTGAATGAGGCCGGGAGGGTCGACCTGAAGGTCAGGTTGCGGTAGAAGACACCGATGCATTTCTGGAGTGCCGGCGGCCGGATGCGGATGCACGGCAGGCCGGCAAGAAGTCGATCAATCTCCTTATCGTGTGGCACGGAGACCATGTCACCCATCGACTCGAGGCTGCCGCCGCGCATCTCGAGTGCCGTGCCGCATATGTGTGTGGGCAGAGGGAACACCTCAAAGCGGCGGATGTGGGGCGAATGGGCCAGCAGATGACGCAGCACGTCATGGTACCAGTAGTTCTCCTCTGTGCTTGTGGTTAGGTCGAGCACTTGAGATCTCTCGCTGCAGAACTTGGCCCTGAGTGTCCTAAGGTTGGGTGTCTTCCACTGCAAGGACCGAAACACCTTCAGAGCCCGAACTAGGTCCACATCGATATCCGTCAACGCTGGAAACGTCCGCGCCGCGCCGACAAGGCTCGCCTCCTCAACACCACCGTAGTCCCATCCAGGGCTGGGCACGTCCGACTTGATGGCCCTTATCTTGTCACCGTGCTGCTGCATTGTTGTGACGAAGAACCGCAGCACATCATCGTCAAAGCTGGTCTCGCCCTCGGCCGCCACGAGAATGATCTTCTGCGGGCCCTGGGAGCACAGAAGGACGCGTCGATCCCGAGGGACGGCCGGGCCGATGACGAGGGTGGACGAGCAGACAGCCTCGAAGCAGCTCTCGTCCAGGACAGACAGCCGCATGATCTCCTGCATGCAGGCAGGGAGCCAGTGCAGTGCCTGTGTGCGCCTTTCTAACGCGTACCTTACCTTGTCTGTGAGTGTGCCTGAGAGGTTGAGCGTCCACAGCTCTGCAGGGAGCCGGGTGAGGCCGTGCATGCCGCGGGTCGACGATGCCATTGACGCCACGAGCACAGAAGATGAGGTGAGCGCCTGACTCTTTGCCCCTTGCTTCTCCTCCCGAGAGAGAGCAGTTTCACAGAGTCCTGCTGCGAGCTTAGTGAGCAGATCTCCCCCCGCAGTCTCTTTCCTCGGGAGGAGCAACGACGTCTTTGTAGATCCGAACGCTCAGCAGCTTTCAAGCTGCGTGGATGATGATGGCGGTTTTCCTCATGCCACTGGTGCTGATGCTGATGCTCACCCTGCTGTCCGCCAATGGAGCCCATCTGTCAACCTCGTCTGACCCCGCGTTCATCGCCCACTCATTACCTGCAAGCAGCAGCACCCAGCGGCGAGTCATGGCACACCACAGGCGGCGACCATCCCTTCTACGCATGCAGGAGGTCAAAGAGCGGGCGCCGTCGTCCAAAGAGTCCGACAAAGGGAAGCAACAGCAACAGCAGCAGCAGCTGGCAGACGCCCTCCCATCTCAGCTCACATTCGCCACGGAGCAGCAGCAGGTTGAGAGGCAGCTCCCTCGGCTGCCGCCTTACTGGGACATGGTGCGCGTCGGTCTGGCCACGCCAGAGAATGACAAGCGCACGCGGATCGAGGAGAAGTACCGCATCGAGTCAGGGGAGGAGGGGGTGCGCCGACAGTGGCAGAGGAAGAGGCAGAGCATTATGGAGCTGGTGGGCGAGACGGGCTCTGGCGTGCTCGACACTGTCGAGGACGTCTCGCTGCATTGGAGGAGACAGTTCATGAAGCTCAAGTGAGCCAGTCACTTGATGATGCAGACACACGCACACAGAGGGATGCGGATGGTGCATCCGTCGTGCTGTGGTGTCGTGTGTGTGTGTGTGTGTGTGTGTGTGCTGGTTCCATGCTGCAGCAAGGTGAATCTGATGCAGAAGCGGCTCGACACTGACAAGCCTCGGCTGGTCATCCTGGGCTCCGGATGGGCCGCACATGCCATGATCAAAATCATCGACACGGACAAGTGAGCACCTGCATCACCTCCAGCACACACATCTGTCCATCCTGATCTACCTCTGTCTGGGCAGATTTGACGTGGTGATTGTGTCCCCGCGCAACTACTTCCTCTTCACGCCCATGCTGGCTGCGAGTGCCGTCGGCACTGTCGAGTACAGATCGATCACCGAACCGATGAGGAAGGCGAATCCGCTGACGAGCTACTATGAGGGTGCGTCAGTAAGCGGGAGGGCAACACACGGACACACGAACAGCATGCACTCACTATGTCTGTATGCCCCGCGATGGGTGTGGTGTTCAGGTGAGGCGATTGACATCGATCCCGAGAAGAAGGAGATCCGGGTGCGCTCCAAGATCCAAACCACTGAAGGTGCTCTACACTCCAATGCCAATCCATCCCCCTTGACTGCACTGTGGATTGCTGGTGGTGGTGGTGAACTTGTCAGGCGAGACTGTCGAGTTCGCCGTCCCGTACGACACGCTGATCTTCTCGCCTGGCGTCAAATCCTCCTCGTTCGGCATCAAGGGAGTGTACGAGCACTGCTACTTCCTCAAGGAGATAGAGGACGCGCGCAAGCTGCGGACCGCCGTGCAGGACCGCTTTGAGCGGTAGGCATATGAGTCACGCGTGGCAGAGGGGAGGAGAGCGAGGGCGTGTGCCGATGGTGCCGGTGGTGGTGTTTGTTGTCTGCAGGGCGAACATTCCTGACACTTCTGATGAGGAGAAGCAGCGCCTGCTCACATTCGCCGTGTGCGGGGGCGGGGTCAGCGCAACCCACCGCACCCACCGTGAGAGGAGACACCACAGAGATCGTCGCTCTTGGCTGTGTGTGCAGCCGACTGGGGTGGAGTTCTGCGGCGAGCTCTTCGACCTCCTCCGATCGGAATTCCGGAAGTTCTACCCCAAGTGAGTTGAGTCGCCAAGCCAGCCACGCTGACGACACGCAATCCGATGCACCTGTTGTCTGTGTGTAGGTTGACGCCAATGGCCAAGGTGGTGTTGGTGCAATCCGGCCCCAACATCCTGCCCATCTTCGACGAATCGCTGCGCAGCGTCGGGCTGCAGAAACTCAGGGTACGTCACAGCCACACATGTGCACCACCTACGCCCACGCTCATGCGTCCTGTTTTGTGCGTGTGGGGTGGGTGAGTAGGATCAAGGCGTGCAGGTGGCGCTGGAGACGAGAGTGCAGGAAGTTGGACCCAAATCCATCTTGCTCAGCGTCCGCAGACAGACAGACAGACAGACAGACAGAGGCTGTTCAGTGTAGTGAATGCAGCACCCGTGTTTCTCTGCCTGTCTGTCTCTTTGCGTCTTCAGAACGGCACCGAGCTGCCTTATGGCCTGGCGGTGTGGGCTGCCGGCACTGGGCCGAGGGAAATCACCAAGTATGACCATACACACGACAATGTCCATGCAGCTAACGCGCAAATGCATCGTCTTGTCGCCACGGCAGGCGGCTGATCGAGAAGGTGCCCACCCAGCAAGAGATGTAAGGAGGCCATGCCCGCACACGACAGACAGACCACACGCACTCTCACCTCTCTCTCTCTCTCTCTCTCTCTCTGGCTGATCGGTTCGTTCTGCAGGGCGTCCCAGTCCAAGAAGCTGGCTGTCGATCCCTGGCTGCGCGTTTACGACACCAACGGCACCATCCTTGCCATGGGCGACTGCACCAAGATGGACCCGCCGCTCCCGCAAACCGCTCAAGTACGCTCGCTGCACACACACATACGCCCAATTCAGCACCAGCAGCGGTCACTGCGCTCCTCTCATTGCCTCTCTCTCCCTGTGTGTGTGTGTGTGTGTATCTGCAGGTCGCTGCGCAGCAGGGCGCCTTTCTCGCTCGTCTGTTGAACCGTGGCTACAACATGAGCAAGGCTGACGGGCGGCCGCCGACGTACTCTTACAAGGAGAGCGAGAAGAAAGGCTTCGGCGAGCGGCTGTTCAGCATCCTCCGCATCCGTGGCAAGAAGAAGGCTGATCCCTTCAATTTCTTCAACTACGGCATGCTCGCCTACCTCGGCGACCAAAAGGCGCTGGCCCAGATACAGGTGTGTGTGTGTGTGTGTGTGAAGTGTGGTGTGTTTGTGTGGGTGAGTGATGTCTATCTCTGTGTGTGTGCGCGTGTGTGTGTCAGGCTAACGACTTGGACTTTATCAAGGCGAGTGGGCAAGCTGGTTTCTACCTGTGGCGGTCCGTGTATGTGGTCAAGCAAGTCTCGTTCAGGAACCGTGTGTTGGGTACGCTGCGTGTGCACCCACACGTCTCAAACCATCCCCCTCTCGCCCTTTGTTTGCTCTCTCAGTGCTATTTGACTGGTTCAAGAGTCGGATATTCGGCAGAGACCTCACACGGCTCTAGGCCTGAGCTGGAGGGCGGGCAGGGGGGGAGGGGGATTGTGGCCGGTGGGGAGAGATCGCTACTGCGAAACGAAGCGAGTGAGATCTGATGGATGGATGGATAACAGAGGGGAGCCTCAGGGTGTGGTGAGAGAGGGTTTGCCTCCATCTTGCCGGCCGGCCATTCCATGACACGTATTTATTATTGCCATTGCCATTGCCATTGCCATTGCCATTGTACGTGTGTGTGTACATAAAGAGACAGACAGAGCAGCGGATCAACGAACCGACCGACCGACCGACGTCTAATGCTACGTGTGTGGTGGGCTGGGGCTGGCATCTTTTTCGGTTTCACTTCTCTTTATCTACGGAGCGGACTGGCAGGGAGGGGAGGCCACTGACTGTGCGGGCGGTGCGTCTTTGTCTTTTTCCCTTCGTGGGTGTACAATGAAATGAATGCCCTGAGGGTGTGGTGTGTGCAGAGAGGAGGGGGGGCCGGGGGGGTGAGAGCGATTTGCCGTATGTCCGTGTGGGCGGCATGGGACGGCATGCGTGTCGAGTTTTTGCCTGCAGGTGCATGGCATGGGATGCACTGCACTGCAGCCATCAACGAACGAAGGGACTGAAATGGAACGAACGGACTCATCGGCCAATTGAGTGAAAGGCACACAAAGAGAGTCGATTGGCGGGTGGGTGGGCGGGTGTGACGACAGTCCCATGGGTTCATCCGCGACACCCACACCACGAACGACACACACACACGCACACACACACGCACCAAACTCACCCACACACCTGTCTGTGTCAGTTCCCCCATCCACCAATCCACCCCCACGAGTCAGTGGTACGAACCATTCCTTCCATCCATCCATCCAGCGACAAACGACCCAACACACGAGATGACACAAGTGAACAAGGCAGACAGACAGACAGACGCGCAGGCAGGCAGGCAGACAGACGTACAAACGTACAAACGAAGAGACAGATCGACGGCGAGAACCTGTCAGTTCTGCGCACCGACATATTTACTGTCTGTGCTGTGCTGTGTGCGCGAGTGAGTCTGATGGAACAATGGCATTATGGCGGCAGAGGGAGAGGGGGACGGGGAGGGAGGGAGGGAGGGAGGGAGGGGGGAGCGATCAAGAGACAGAGAGGGAGAGGGTGACTGACAGACTCACACAGACCGACTGACGCACGATAGATGACAAAGGCACACACACACACACAGAGAGAGAGAGAGAGAGAGAAAGGTATGGGTGATGGGAGGGCGGGCGGGTCGGTGGGTGGGTGGGGCCGCAAAAACGATACATACGGTATCATCACAACACACGCACACGCATCGATCCAAGACACCAGACTCTGTGCAGACCAGTCATGTCATACATACACACGTGGGCAGGGCAAACACACACACGAACGAGAAGAAATGCCCCCTCTCCCTCCCTCCCTGCCTCCCTCGTTCTTTCTCTGCCTCTGTTCTGTTCTGCTGGCTAGGCTAAGAAGAGACCAACGGTGCTTGCTGCGAATTAGCCCTTGCCTCCGTCTTAACAGCAAAAAACAAACAAAACAAAAGCGTTCGTTCGTTCCTTGCACGGCACGCCTCAAAGTGTGTCTGTTCTGTGTCGTTGTGACACTCCCTCGCTCACTCTCTCAGCCTCGGCCGCCCGGTGTGCCGACCGACATATACAGGAAAGAAGCAACCATAGCAAGGAGGATACACATCGTAATGTACAGCGGTGGGGGGGTGGATTGGTGGATTGGGTGGGTGGTTTGGTCAATCCATGCCATGCAGCGTATAAAGACCACCACCACCACCCGTGTGTGCCGCCCCGCCCCGTCCCCCTTGTATGTGTGTATCGGTTAAATTACATTCTGTGTGTGCCAGCCTTTCGCCCGCGCCGCAACAGACTCAACAAACACCAGAGAACAAGCGATAGACACCTGAGAGCACGAGAGAGAGAGAGAGAGAGCGAGAGACGTGGGTGGGGCTGATGGCTGGCTTTGATTGACAAAGAACAGTACATATCATATGAAGGCATGACTGACTGACTGAATGAATGGATAAAGCGCGCTCCCCCGTGCTGTGTTGCGTCATGCCCCCCGGGCCCACTCTTGTCCCTCCCCCTCTCTGTCCCGTGTGCTGTGCATTTGCATGTCCATCCATCCATCCATCCATGTGTTATGCATGCAGCATACGACGATACAAATAAGCCTAAAGGACGTGACGTGACCTAAAAGTGGCTGGCCTGCTTCCCTTCTTCCTCCTTATCTCCGTAGTGGATGGACTGGCGCGCACCAGCGCATCGCCCAATTCTCTTCCTCCGTGTTTTTCCTTACGTCTGTCTGTGTCTGTGTCTGTCTGCGGGCCGATTCATGACATCGCGTCCCTCACTGTTGTCCTCTTCAGTGTGTCAACCACCGGAGAGGATGGCAGAGAGTGACGCAGCACGATGAATCGGCTCGACAGCACAGGACACACCGACGGCAACAACAACATTTCCTCAAATCAATCAATCAATCGATCAGGTCGTGACGCACTCTCTTCTCTCTCTATGGACTGACTGACTCTATACATCAATCACTTTGGCGATCTCATCTGACCTGCCTGCCTGCCCGCCTCCCTGCCTAGCTTGAAACACATGGGGAACAAAGCATGCATCAGCGTGCCTCGTCCCGCTCTTACAAAAGCCCAAACACACATGCCGCCCCGCGCCACACACAGCCATCACACAAACCACTCCCGCCCCGCCCCTACTGCCCGTTCCCGCCACCCCCACCAGTAAGAGCACCGCTGCCGCCAAAGGCCGGTGGCATTTCGACGGTGCCTGCATTCCAAAATGGGCCTCTGTGCCAGGAGAGGCCGGACGAGGGCGACGTGGGGCAAGACATGGCTGATCGGGTCTGCACCTGCATCTGCGTCTGCCCCCATTCTGCGGGCGACAGCATCGGTGGTGGTTGTGCTGCAACTGGTGTGGGGGCTGCTGCGTGGGGGTGCGATGAGGGAGGATAGAACGCCTGATGAGCCGACGGCTGCGGGGCGGCCTTGAGGAACGACAAGAGGTCGCTCCACGTCCCTGTGCCAGATGGACGTGGTGGTGGTGGAGGTGGTGGTGGTGGTGCAGTGGCCTGGGGAGGGGGGAAGGGCACGCCGCCTCCCCCGCCACTCTCCTTGCCCTGCCCATCGTTGGCTGCACCACCGCCATTGCCCCCCTGCTGCACGCGCCCGAGCGCCTCTGCGAGCTTCATGAGAGTGGCCGGGTTGATGCAGGGGTGCTCCACCTGGGAAGCGTCTGTGTCGGGGAGGGGCGGGTGCTGCGGGGACTGCTGCTGGTGGTGGCCGTCAGCTGGAGTCGGGGTGTCTCCGTTGTTGCCGCCAGGCGGTGTCTGCACGTCGGAGTAGAGGAGCTTCTCCACCAGGTCTCTGTTGGCTGCAAACCACAGGAGCAATACGAACACACGAGTGGTCGATATACGGCTGTTTCTGCACCACTCTCTCTCTGTCTGCCTGGGTTGCTGCTCACCGTGCACAATGGCCGCCAGGTCAGCCACGCTCAGGGCCTTTCCCCCTTCGCCCTGCCTCTGGCTTTGCTGCTGCAGCTGCTGCAGCAACATGGCCTGTGTGTGCGGGTCACTCATCCCGCCGACACCACCTGCAGCAGCGGCCGCAGCCGCAGCAGCAGCAACAGGCTGCCCGGCTAGTGTGTCCTCGAGCGACAGCGTCTCCAGCCGAATGTCGCTTGGCGAGTGGCAAGTCGACCCAGGAGCCAGCTGCGCCGCCTTGATACCCGATCTGTTGCTGTCGCCGCTCTCTGATCCTCCCGCACTCATTCCGCCTGTGGTCCCCTGCCTCGCTGGACGATTTCGCGACATCCGCAGACGCGTCGGTGCCGTCGACACGTGTGCGGTAGTGGTGGGGGAGGCCGTGCTGAGCGGCTGCCTGCCCGTCGCGAGGGCCGGGTGCGGGGGAGGCGGCAGCGTGTTGGCCTCTGGTGGCCCCACTCCCGGCGCCGGCATCGGCTGCATCGCATGCATGGGCTCGGCGGGTCCAAGGGGCATCATGTCTGCCTCATGCTGCTCGGGGGGGCGTGAAGGTCTCCCTGAGAAGCGGAAGATCTCTCCCGCGTTGGCCGGGGCGGCCAGAGAGGGCGGCGGGGGGAAGGGGGACACACCAGCACCAGCACCAGCACCGGCAATGGCAGGTGCGGCAGCCGCACCCGCACCAGACGAAGATGACGCCGCAGGAAAGATGTCCAGCGGCTTTGACATAAAGGACAGCTGAGGTGAGGACGGCGGGTTCTCCCTCGACTGAGCGAGTGGGTCCTCGCCCAGAATAATTTCCCCACTCGGCGGGGCGAACGGGTCGCTCGAGCTCGTCGTCGACGGCAGCGGGCCCAGCATCCGGTCCACCGCCGAGATGTCCTCCTCCGATATCCCGGGATCCGCCTCCACCGTTGACGGCGGGCCTGGGGGATGGTGGATGTGCGAATCGGCGTGCGGGTCGGCCGGAGGGACGCTGCCGGGCATCTGCACCCTCATGCCAAACGAGAAGTCCCCACTGGAGTCGACCGAGTGGCTCAGGGGGGGCGGCATGCGCGCCTGTGCCAGGGGGGTGGAGGAGGACATGGCCAGCGGGTCGGTGCTGCCGGGCGGCTGTCTGAGCACCTGTGAGGGCGACTCCATCGGCTCCGTCTTGATGGCAAGGGGGAAGCCGTGGCCTGGCGGATAGGGCGAGGGGAAGATGGACCGGTTTGGGGGCGACGTCATGCTGCTGATGCTGCTCATGCCGGCCGCAGGGTCCATCGCCGGGGCTGCATGTTGTGCCGCCGCATACGAGAAAAAGGAACTGTTTGTGGCGCCGGCCTGTGAGACGACAGACGCCTTGAGACGGCCCTGCTGCCGCAGGTGAGTCTGGGGGGGCTGATGGGGGTCGACGGCTGGCGCTGCTGCTGTTGCTGGTGGTGCTGGTGTGCGATGGTAGGGGTATCCTGGCGCCTGAGCGGGGCTTGGGGTGGAGAAGATGTTTGCCGTCTGCGTGAAGTGCCCGGGGTGCACTGGTGGCGGCATGTGCTGATGCTGCACCGGGTGTTGCTGGTGGGGATGCAGGGCGGCCTCAGCACCGTCGGCGGCGGCCGTCTCGCCGTCGTAGCTGTTGCTCTCGCTCTCCTCCCCCTCGTCACCATGCTCCAGATGGTCGTGTGGCTGTGACGAGCTGCCGTCCTCATCACTGTAAGCCTCGCTGTCGTCATCTCCTCGCGGATCATCCTTTACGCGCACGTGCCCACGGCCATACGCCGGCGTGGCCACCAGGTGGGCGTGCGCTGCTGCTGCTGACGGCATGTCCTGTTGCTGCTGCTGTTGGTGCTGTTGCTGGGGCGGGGTGAGGTCGCGCGGCTCTGGGGATGCGGAGGGTGACGGTGTGGTGTTTTGCAGGGTGCTTGCCGCCTTTTTTGCGCGGGCCTTGGGCTTGTCCTTGGCTTTGCCGCTGCCCTTCTTGTGATACTCGTCGTGCCACAGCTTGCGACGGAGGGAGTTCCATCTGACAGCAACAGAGGGAGGGAGGATGCCATTGGTTGGAGCGGTGGTGCTTGATCGTTCGTCTGTCCCCCCCACCCACCCACCCACCTGTTCTTGACCGAGTTCTCCGTCCGCCCCGGGAGCAGTTTTGCGATCTCTGACCACCTGTTGCCCATCTTGGCCTGCGCTTCGAGCAGCAAATGCTCCTCCTCAGCCGACCACTCGTCGCGCTGACACAACAACAGACAACACAAACATGTACATGTATGTGTGGGTGTGGGTGTGCGAACGGGGCGGGCGGCTGCGGCTCAGGTTAGCTTCTTACGCGAATGGTGGGGTCGAGGTGGTTGTACCACCGTTCGCGGCACTGCTTGCCGAGCCTGAAGGTGTTGCAGCGGCGGTTGACCTCCTGCGCCAGCGACGTCCACCGCTGCGGACCCCACTTCTCAACCAGCTCCTTCAACACGATGTCCTCCTCACTCGTCCAAGGACCTGGTTGTTGCGCGACGGCAGACAGATGTGCGAGCGGGTGGGGTGTTTCGGTATTGGGTGCTTGTGTGCGTACCTTTGACGAGGCCGGGCATGAGAACTTTGTGCCATCTGTGAAGGCACTGGACGTCAGTCCGGCCGGGGATGAGCGCGGCGATCTTCTTCCAGTTCTTGCCGTCATGGAGCTTCACGGCCTCCTTCAACCTGCTCCATGGACACAGGCAAAGACAGAGCAATGTAACACGCACACCCCCTTTAGCCCCACTCACTCCCCCCACTCACCGCTCGTCCTCATCGGCCATCCACCTCTGGGCGTCCTTGGCAGACCTTCGTGTCTGCCCCTGGCTGATGGCCTCCTCAAAATTCGACTTGACGGCAGCCAGCCCACCACCCACACCCACACCGACACCCATGCCCATCTCACACCCTGCAGCAGCCGGCCCCTGCTGCTGCGTCGGGTAGAGGGGCGGCAGGCCCGACGAGCTCCCGCCTTTCTGCCGCGAGCCTCGTTTCTTGGCCGCCGGTCGCGACGAGTCGGCGTCGGTCTGCATCGGCACCTGGGGCGAGTGCAGCCGCTGCTTCTGGTACTGTGGCGAGATGGCATACTTGGTCCCTGCACACACAACACAACACAAACCAACACACACCACAGGAGAGAACAGAGAGATCAAACAGGAGAACGCAGCGCCAATCAGGTGAGCAGAGCAGATCGCCACAGTTCAGCTTTCTCTCAATGCGCCAACTGACCGTGTGGGCTCATGAGGTCTCTGTCGGTCGTTTGTCTCTTGGACTTGGCACCGCTCCTCAGCCCATAGGCGTCTTGCTGTGCCGGCGGGTAGGCGTCCGCCACCAAACTGGACCCCGGCGGCGGGGCGAAGTGGGCCTCCGCCGCCATCATCGCCGCACGACAAACCTACAAATTCTGACACCGCACCGGGTGCTCACAGTGCCAGCGAGCGCTCTCTCTCAGATCTCCGACGACAGATCAAAAACAAAAAGCCGCCGAAACAAACAGAAAAGTGTGAGGCCCCTCCAGCGCCATATTCGGCTTGGTGTCCTCACGCCTCAAATCGCCGCAAAATCATTCGCAACCTAGCTCGCAGGTGCGAGCTAAGCCGAGAGAGGGGCGGAAAAAGGTAGAGGAGGCGTGTGTGTGTGAGAGGGCGTTGCATTTTTCGGCGGCTGGTGGCGTTTTGACGATGCAACAACGGGGAGATATAGTCGTTGTGTTTTGCTGGTGAATCTGCTGCTTGCTGCTGGAGAGGAGAGGACAGACAGGAGGCCATGCGCATCGATGGCGAGGCGTCCCACCGCGAATGGAAAGGCGCCACGTGGGATCCGCCTCTGCGTCATCGCCGTCTACATCATTACTGTAGTCAGCAGCGGCAGTGGCATGACTGCCGCCCGGCAACACCATTACAGTGGCAGCGGCAGAGGCAATGGCACGTCGGTGACCATCGCACTGCAGCGGCGGGTGCTCACCGACAGGCTGCTGCTCAACCTTGAGCGCACCAAGCAGTCGGCATCTCTCGCTGCGCAAGCTGCTCTGACGGCCCAGAGAGAGAGGGAGGAGGGCCGGCAGGGTGGCAGTGAGGGTGACGACTCGGGACAGCAGCAGCAGCGGCGGCAAGCCCACTTTGTCACGGCGCCACACACACGGCTGCTGACGTCGCTGCTTTCAACATGGCGGGGGCTCTTCGGCTGGCTGTCGTCATCGGGTGACAGTGTCGAAACAGATGCTGACGGACGGGAGG